GAAAATTACAAAAACAAACAAACAATCATGAAATTTTACTAGAAAATGCATTCAAATAATAACTATATATTATATGTACATTAAGTTATGTTATGGAAGACTGCAATATAACTTATGATACATGTTATTTGTTATATTGTTCTATCAAAATTCTTTCATGGGCAAAAATATGAAATAATTAGTGAACCAGGTGTATCCTCCGGTTACTGAACAATTTACGTTCTAAAACTTAAGGTCGTAGTGTTTAACCCAACAACTCAGCTTCCATGAGCAAGCCATAAAATGAGATATGCATACTTCGAAGTTGTTTTAACTTTATATACGAACATGACTGTGGAAACACACTGACAAAAAGAACAAGTAAGGAATTAATCTGTATTGCATTACTTTGTGTACAGTTATATGATTCGTCCTTCATGATTGAAGAGGACCATCTTCTTCATCATCCATTACTTTTGTATGTTCGGAAGTGACTGATTAGCCCGATCCCGGCTTGAAAATGTCTGGCGCATCAAGGCGCTTTACGTTGTTCTTGGATGCGATGTTGTTCATATGTGGTTGCTCCCTTCGTGAGAGCACTCCTCGAGGCTGGGCGGATTTTGAGCAAGAGTTTCCCAGGTATTAGAATCAATGTGGCAGTCCTTTAGCGCAGCTTCGAATGTGTCCTTGTAGCACTTCTTCTGACCACCATGGGAGCGTGCTCCGGTCTGTAGTTTGGTCTGACAACATGGCCGGCCCAGCGGAGTTGTGTCTTCCTCAGCAGGATGTGAATGTTGGGTATGTCAGACAAGTTTAGTATCTCGATGTCCGGGACCTAGTCTTGCCATTTGATGTTCAAAAGTTTGTGTAGACAGTAAGGATGGAAGCCACTGAGTTTTTTGGCATGCTTTTGGTAGACAGTTCATGTTTCAGACACGTAAAGAAGGATAGTGAGCACAACCGCCCTGTAGACTTTCAGTTTAGTTTTGAGTGTCATCCCTAAAACTAAGTTAGCAGAGTGTGGTTTCGATCTTACTTATTAAGTAAATCATTTTTTTTTATAAAGTAAACTATATTTCAGGTTGAGAACTATGAAGTTAACCGAGCTCGATTAATATAAATCTAAATGTAATGAAGAAAACTAAGTTTCCTCAGATTTTTTGAAGTCTGATAAGAACAATATCATTCTTCTGATAGCATGAAACATTTAATGTCATTGCATTAAGCATATTTATTATTAAATCATTTTTCACCTGACATATTCGCACTTTCAACCGTGGAAGCGTTATAATGTGACGGACAATCTTACTATTCGTTGGTAAAAGAGAAACCCAAGAGTTTGCAGTGGTGGTGTTGACTAGCTGCCTTCCCTCTAGTCTATCACTGCTAAATTAGGGACGGCTAGCACAGATAGCCGTCTTGTAGCTTTGTGCGAAATTCAAAACCAACCAAACCGAAATGATATTTATGCACAATTATGTGGTATGCAGGTATATTATGTTCTGCTACCATTTATAGTGATAGAATTCCTTTTTCTAAATTGTTTCATAAATACGCACTATCATAACAGCAACACCTAGTCCATGATGTAACTTTGTCTTATTCTGGTAACTTTAACCCTTTTGTTCAATGAGCTCTTATGCCCGCAGGGATATTTTAGTCTGGGTAAACTAGTTAAAGATGGAATGGTGATTTTCGAAATCCAGGTCTCCATTTTTCCAGTTTCCTCGCTTACGTTCAATGAAGACCTAGGTATATTTGCTCTCAGGATTGAGAAAGAAGGTTACAATGTCGAACACATGTTACGAAAACATTAACTGTAGCCTGCGCATCTAGTTTTTTTGTATATAAAGTACTCTCGTTTTTTACTTAAAACGTACACAGACTATTTATTTACACACCAAAAGAAACATTTCGTTAGAGTATATGAAACTAAGACGTCTCGTTATTTCTCCTGAGTGAATTTTGCAGTTATTGCCGAGACTTTCTGATACTAATAGGGAAATCGTTTTTTTTCTTTTCTTTAAATACCACATTAGTTCATTAATTTGTACTACAAAAACTTTAGCAAAATATCAAGTTGTTAAAGTTAACTGAATCAATTACTATAATCTATTTTATATTGGTTTCCAGCAAAATTCCTTTAAGTAAATATAATCGTAAAAATAGTTTTGGAGTGTAAAAAAATGCTACAAGCTTTACAAGAGTCTTCAAACTTTAATTTATCGAAAACATTTGATTGAACAATAATTCAACATTAGAACCTTTCCATTCACTGTTTGAAAGTGAATTAACTTTGGATAAGAGCCCCTAGAACCTACATACATATAAATCAATAGTTCTGAAGCTATCTAGTACATTAATTGTAAATAGGCGATTTTTAATCAGCACTATAAAACAATGAATAATAATGAAATAAATATAAATCAATAACATTATAAATAGACTCAAAAAGGGCCGGTAATGGATAAAAAAATTATTTTTCGAGTCTCTTTGTAATGTTCGATTTATATACACACATATTATACCCGTTATTGTAATTATTGATGTTGTACTTCCTCATGTAAATAAAAACATTGTTATAGAGCTCAGCAGTAGCGACCACGATCGCCTATTAGTATAGCAGACCTATTTGTAAAAGTCCTACTTATGTTTAGTAGCCTCGTTTTCGAAGCGTTTCTGTATCTAGCGTAGCAAACGTTGCCAGATTGCTTACAAGTTGGATTTGAATCCATGCGATAGTAAAAAATACTCCTCCCTGCATTTTAAGCTGTGGGTGTATTATAACAGTAACAACCAATCCTTTAACATGGTCGGTGCAGTGTTGAATCCAGACTTTTCCACAGGGAGGAGGGGAGGGAGTGTGAAGCTTGGGGTGGGGGAATGAATTATAATTACAATTCGACAACATGGGAAATACTGTACTTTTGGGAGGATTTTTTTTTTGCCCAGGGGGAATTCCCCCCGAACTCAACACTGGGTTGGTGTGTGCTACTAACTGCTTTTACTCTGATCAAGTACTTCAAAATTTATTGACAGCGGCAGATAGCATTAGTTCCTTTGCCATAAATACATGTGTAATGTTCAGGTTAACTGATGTGCAACAGAAAAGCCGAAAATTTCTAAAAAGATAGGTTCAGGACTGTCTAGTGAATAATAAAATGATCATGTAAAATACATGAAAACAAACAAAAACATTTCGAAAAAGAAAATTCGTTATTGATAACACAATGTTCTGTCACTAAAATTGGCTGGGTTTCTTTAAAATTATAATTTTCGATTTAGTAGCCTGTTGTGGAACATTATAGAATATAACGTAATAAAACTTGGTCATCAGTTCATTGAACTAGTCAAATTGACGGACTGACCAAAGTAAACTGTACATGCACAAACTGTGTTTGTTTTTTAAAAAATTCATTTTGTGTAGTACTTTGTGCTCATCTCGTTGCTTTATTTTTCATCGATACAGTTTCAGTTACATTTCGTAATATATGTCTTGAATGTATCTTCTATAGTATTCTGCATACAAACCGAGAGCTCTAACATACATTTTGTTCATCACAGAAATCCATAAAGAAATGCATACATGCTAGCTTGAGACATAAGGACAAGGTTTTAATACGTGGCCTTTACCCGTGTGAGAAGATTAGTATGCGTTTAGACCTTCAGACACCAGTCAACGAGAATTTCGTAACTACGTGCAGAAATTACATAGAAATTTTGAAAAATACTACGTGAATATACTTGAATAAAAATATTTTCTGTTATAACTAATAATTATGGAAGGGTGCAATTCATAACTATTTCAGTCATTACGTATGATCACACATTGAACTAGGTCAAAAAATAGTTGACTGTAGTATTTACCATTCAAGTAACATTTTTGTGAATTCTCCTTTGTTACTTTTACCAGTTTTTAATTCGTCTCTTTTCATATTTGATGTCAAAAATTAACCAAATAGTTTTACTAATAGTAACAGAGAAAATGCTAAAAATTTATTTTAAAGTTTATTAAATACACTATAGTAATTTTAGAATTGCTGCTTTAATTTAAATTGCAGTAATTTTACTATTTATGTATATTATTAAAAGCGAAGTATGTGATGATTTCAAAATTAGCACGATTCTAATTTTTAATACACTACAATGGGTTGACTAGGTCTAACATTTTGTAGCAATTTATGCGTATAAAACAAGATTATTGCTATACAATCTTTTAATTCTTGAAAATCCGTTAGGAAATAGATAAAAGAATGTACTGTTTAAAAACATTATAGGCCTAATACTAATATTTTATGACAAGTAGTTATAAAGCAAGATTTTCTCACATTTATAAGATACAAATGTTTTCAATCTTTCTTTATTCACAAATTACAAAGATTGGCTAATCACCCTTTGTTCAATTTGGTAACCATTACCTTCAGAAAATATTGCAGTATTTCCAAATATATAAATTAATAACTCTCGTTATATAAATAATGATTTGATATGCTGTTGCATAATGTTAAAATCAAGCAAACTATGAGATATTCTTAATTATATTTGTCATAAGGTATTAATATTAAGCCTATTGTAACAAATGCTTATATATTGTTCTGATTAGAGTTTGTCGTATTTTAGCCATCCTGATGAGCTCTGAATTAAGTGAAACGTATCGTCGACAATGCATATGGAGAACATAGTGTGGCTTAAATACTATTATACACTCGTCTTTTAAAAAAAACAAAAAACCAAAGGCACTGAATAAAAAGCGTAGATTTCAAGATATAAAATGCTTAATACTAATATCTTATGTTAATTGTAAATAATTATAATCGTGCTTAGTCAGCTTAGAAAAGGTATTCGCACCATAAAAATTGTTGTATGAAGTACTATATTCATTTTAAATCTTACCAAGTAAGTTGAGTAATGAAACCCAAGTTCACATTTTATAGCAACAACAACAAAGTAAAAATATTTGCTTAATAAATCTGAGAAACTTTCGTGTTAACAATAATTCTTTGAGCACAAACTACCATCAGCGGTAGTAAATGATAAGTTCACGTAACCTCTATAGTTACCGTAACTGCTGGGAAAGATGAATTTAAAATTCTACAAACTAACAGTCAACAATAAAGTAGAAATCGTTAACTATATCCGTAATGTTGTTATTGTAAAACGTTTGACATTTTTTTCAAAAATTATATTTCAAATTACATTATGCTTTTACTAATTATGTATTTATTTTGGTTTTAAATAATTTCCGAGAAGCTTGTCAAAGGATTTAACAACAAATAAACAGACAGTTTGTTGTTTATTAATCTTTGATAACAGTACAAGAAGTGCACAACTGCTTTTTACTTTAAAAAACATTTTAAGATAATACAAATATTTGAAATAAAATTTAATGGTATTTATCTATAAAACTGATTTAAATAATAATAACTTTCGCGCGATCAGAGTAAACTATATGTATGCAGAAAAAACTAAAAATTAACTTGGCCATCAGTATAGCTAATTAAATATACATTTCTTACGCAACTACTTATAAGGATTAGAACGCACTTATTCATCAGTTGGGTACCCTTGTTGTTAACGTTAGTTTCGACCGTAAACTCATTAGTATTGCACGTGTTTTGGCCAGATTTAGGACAGTCCTAAATAGAAATTCAAAGCTAACAATGAAAATCAATCTTTATAATACAACTTTAACAACGAAACACAATTTAATATAAAATAAACGTAATTATATTCACTACAGAAATTAATATATCAATATTATTAATGAAAGGAACAATATATAAACAAAATGGCACATCTTAATTAGGTTACACTTAAACACCACTTCCCGTCTTAAACCATTGTCGTCCATGTATATTTCTTTGAAAACTAGCTTTCTCTTTTTCTAACCGTATTTTACTAAAGAAACGCAGTACGCTTCCCCCACTATATAAATTAAGTGTGACAATTAATGCTAGATGTTTAATCAAGTGTAGCTGTAATACGCTTAGAGATAAAATTCATGTTAAAAGATTGATACTATGCAGAAGTTAGTTTGACAAAAAAGTTTTACTCTACCTTCTAAAGAAAGGTATTATACATTTAACATTACAGTAAACTTAAGTTTCTCTCTGTAGTACACATCTTGTAGACAAATATTACTTCTTTACCATTTTAACCCATTTTTCATTTGACAATATTAAGGGCAGATACAAAAATTTTTAATATCATAATCCACTATACTTTCTAACTCCACACAATTAGAACAAATCTCCGTATCCTGGTCTTTGAAGACAAACATTATATTTCCACAACTGAACCATCCAACCTTATCTAAACCTCTATGAAGATGGATATTGTACTACGTTTTCCTCATTACTAAACTGTAAAGATTCCTATTAAATCTTTCCCATTAATCTGCTCTCTGAAGATTTCTACTAAATCCTCCCTATTATACTACATACATGGGTCAAAGTGACCAATGATCATTCTGATTGAAAAATATCCACGAGTTGGGGTTTTACATGTTCTCAGATGCATTTTGAGCTCTTCTGGACAACTTTCGGTACCAAATTTTAACTTGACTTTGTATGAAAAAAAATTCAGAAATTGTGTGTATATATTTCACCAGAAATAATTTAAAACTTTTTTGATTATTTTTGCACATCCAAAAGTAAATCATGTATGATTAATGGGATTTGCTCAATAGTTTTTATACATTAAAAACTAATTTTCCTCATATTGTGCAAATATTTTATTTAAATAGTGTTAGCAAATAAACATATGTTGGATAGAAATTCCAAAAAGTTCTGAGTAGCCAAAAAATAAAAAAAAAAAAGGGGGTAACCACTATAGTTTTTGAAGAACTGTCATACATAAATTTTCAAAGTAACTGAAATAACTATCTCATGAGGATAAAGCTTTATTTTCATTCTCTTGAAAATTACATATATCAAGTATATGGGAAATTCTCTTAGCATTAACTTAACCCTAATTACAAAACAAAAATGTATAGAAATGAAGCAATCATTTATAACCCAACTCCAGTTAGCAAGCATATAACATTATTCAAGTTAAAAAAAAAGTACAGTCAATATTTATTTTTAACTTTTTAATATTGAGTTTAGTGATCTAACTTAATGAAAGGTTGAAATAACTTTGTTAGAGAAAGTGAAATTTCCAGTATGAAAATGACACATCATCTTAGAAGTTAGTCTGTCTTAAGTGCTGGACAATTTCATAAACTTAAAAGGGATCTTTGTAACAATTATTGCATAAAACACCTACATATATAAAGTATACACTTCCTGCGCCGGACTTATTTCCTATTCATATTACACAGTCTTGTTTTGAATATATCAGCCATTAAACACCAAGAAAGTAGTGTTCAATATAGTTTATAACTATAATCACCACACTATTTAGCATAAAAAAAAAAACTTCTTATAGATTCCAATATTGAAGATATGTACTAGTTATATTGATAGGATACTAGAGATTTCATTTCCTACAAATGTATCATCTTGAAAATTTTTGTTTTAACAGCCTTAAAATACACGTTTCCAGTTCTGCTCCTTAAAGAACTGAACGTGTTCTTATAAACAAATATTCTTGATAAAAGGCTGATATAATTTCATTGGAATTTTTTCACTTTGCTCTTCTGTTTGTTGATTAAGACATTTCACGTGCTCACTACTTTGAAAAGTTCTTTTGGAACTCGCTATTCCATATACCATGATAAAAACTGGACTGATAATCTTGACGAATGCAAGTTTAGTTTAAAAGGAATGCCAGTACTTTATATTGGTACTAATATAAAATTCAAATGTATTACATTAGGGTAACCCATACTCTCGGGTGAACAAATATGATAATTAAGTAGATTCTACTCTTAACAACAGTAAGCTGCGGAAGTTAATGTGAAAGGCATAAAACGTTTTGAAATGTGACAATCTCTGCTTACCCAAAAATTCAGACTGAGATCTCAAATATTCTCATTTCAAAAAGAGTGCAGAAATAAGTTGTAAATGAGTCACATTTCTATTTGTAATAGCATTAGAGTTTTTATAATAGGTTTTTATAATAAAATACAATAAAAAAAGAAAAGAAACTGAACTTCCATTATAATTAAACTGTTTAAAGTTAGAGGCATCATTATAATATAAGTGGCATGTATAATGTAAAGATTCAGTTTTCTGTAAATGGAATACTCTCTTACTTTAGATAGAATAGTTTATTACAAGTACACCAGTACCCCAAACTTAAGTGATAATACAAGTGCAGATAAACAAAGTTTGATTTTAATCTTGAAACAAATTCATTAAAACCCACAACACATATAATAATTTGTAAATCAAACTGTTGACTCTTTACTGAAGCTTAACACTACTATTACAGTTAGATATTGAATGGAGTGTGGTTTAAGGTGATTAATATTTTAATGGACAAAATAAGATTGTAGTTAAATAATAAGAAGGCAAAAAATTGTTTCCCATCATTCTTTTAACAATTCTTTGTCTTCATAAAAACAATGTAAAACTTTATGATATACAAACTTCTAAGTGCTATGTTTCTTCCCACCAAATACATATTTTTCTAAAGCCGTGAAATAACAAAGGTAATACAAAACTTTCAACAGAACTTGCAACAAGATCTAATAATAATAAGTAGTACGAAAGATATTTAAATTGAATAATCCAACAATTTGTTTGTTTGCGTCAGAAATCTGTGCAAAGCTACACAAGGCTATCTGCGATAGCCATCCTTAATTTTGAACCGTTAGACTATAGGAAAGGCAGCTAGTAAGCATCACCTATTGCAAACTCTTGGGCTACTCTAATCAAATAGTGCAATTTGACAATTATACTTATAACTCACCTACAGCCACAAAGTACAGAGTTCAATTTTTGCAGCAACAGATGCAAACCATGGATTCATGGTCCAGCATGCTAATTGCTAAGCCATGCCCAGTCTTTCAACAATAAAGCTATTGCCAAATGAATAGCATTTATAATAAGGCACTAATAGGTCTCTGCAACTGAAGAGTTTCAAAATATAGCACTGCAGTAATTGTAAAAGAAAAAACTATGTTTTCTTAGTAGAAAATGAAACACAAGTGCCTGAAAAAGGTTTATAAAAATATAAGTGATGAAATACTTTATGTTTCGAATAAATAAAATTTGAAATGGTATTTCTTTTCTAACATAAACTTTATAAAGTACACAAAACACACTTAGAAACATTATTATTTAATTTTTTGTATTTTTTTTTCAGTGATTTTGTGTCACTACTAATCTAAATTTGTGAAAAACGTTTTATATATTTTTAAAATTTCTAATTCTTGGGAAAAAGTATGACCACAACAGAAAGAAAATTTTAAACACCTATTTTTTAAGAACTACAGGCATATATATTTCTAACCTACAATTTAAATTATGGTCTAAAAGAGTTAGGTTCATGTAGAGTATTACACAGTAATAACGGATTATCATTAATCTATAGAGTTGTTTTATTACAATTTTATTTAACCATCTTTTTCCTTATCTTAAAAAATTAATTTCAGAAATCCAAGTTTCTTTCACACAAAATAACATGTTTCTGCCAAACAATTTTGATAGTGGTGAATTGAAACTTGAATCTAAAGTAAGTACTAGTATGATTAAGCCATTTTTCATTACACAATTATTGTTCTCATGAGGTTCTTCTTCTTATATTGTAAAACAAATATACAAACTTATGGAGGGTGAGAATGGAAAAAAAAGAGAATAAAACAATCACGTTTCACCCCAAATTCAACTGTTGATCTTAGTAAAGTATTAAATATAACTGTTTCATCCTCACAAAAGCTATAAAGATACTTTAGATCTTACTATAATTATACAATAAGTCTCACACATACATTCCTATGATCAGTAGCTGCTATGATTTATATAAAAGCTAATATACATTTTTTAACCTGAAACACATGATACGCCAGAATAAAGTTTACTGAAGGTGAAGATTTTTTTTATTAATTGTAAGCAATGGGATAAAAATTCACAGATGACCAAAATTTCTCTCACATTTATATATATATATATATTTGTATCACCATTAATAAACTATGATTTTTTCGCTAAAATACTTACATAACAATTATTTTCTGCCATTAGTACAAAGATAAATGAACCTGGATCTAGCAGATCATGAAAAAGATCGAGGCAATTTCCAAAGGCATCTATCTTGATTCTTTCAAAAATGACATAACTTTATTTTCAATTCCAAGAAATGATTTATAAATTGATTGATAAACATTATGAATAGAAAAAATAAACAATAATTCCCAAGCTTTTTACGCAAGTATTTTAATACTCAATTATTGGACAGAAGCATTTAATTACAGTATAAGTAAAAAATATTCTTACGTAAAATAAGAGAGACTTTCTGATATTCATACCATAAAATTCCAATTATGATAAATATAAAAAAAACAACAACCAAACCTTAATTACAAAAATATGGGAATAAAATAATAAATTGATTAAGATAAAAACTTTCACCATGTTTTACTTAATAATGTCCATGTTATTCTTATTCATGCATATACAAGCAACATTATAAGATACGTTATATTAAAACACATTTTCATACTTCATCTTCCAATGACAAAATACAATGATGCCACAATAAAGATATGACTATTCATATAATATCACTAATTCTCATTTCCAGAAACATTTGTTGAAAAATCATAATTTTATCTACTGTGCAGTTTCAATTCAAAGTAACAAAAAACTTATCACTGTTTCAGTGTATACTGATTACATATCTTGTAAGACAGTATTCCTGTAAAGATTTTATGTACTGCAAACCACAATTCTTTTATGTCTTTTTATGTTTACACTGTAAATTGTATGGTAAAAAATACTTTGAAACAAACTAGTATTTTTAAACAAAACAACTACCTCAATTCTAGGCTTAAACTTATCAAATTTTGGCACAAATTTCTTTCATTTATCACACTAAAAATCAAGCAGAAAATTTTCGATTTTAGCCAAGAAATGATAAGAGAATATCACAAATGATGTTTATAAGACTATTTGAAGTTGAAGATAAACAAATGCAAGAACATCCAATTCCTTATGCTTGTAAAACCTATAACCGTCCTAACTGCCTTTGTAAATATCTACATATACCTTATATAGTAGCAAAGTTTCATTTTCAAACTCATTCAAGATTTGTACATCCATTTAAATACAGAGACTTGGTATCAAAATAAATGTTTCTTACAGAGCATTTATGAACATTAAAAGAAACGTAAGTAAATAAATAAGTCTTTTTAAAGATACAGAAGTAGCAAAACAGATAATCTATGCAGATACCTAAGCAACATTATGAATATCATCTAATGAATGATCAAACACTTATTCTTTTTTCACTCATAAGTCCAATGCCATCATCACTGTTGTTCATAGCCAACAAATATAGCTATTATATTTATCACTACATTACTTCAGGACACAGCCATAGCAAGAGTCATCTTTCAGCTGATCACTTTTCTCTCTGTTACTAAAAATAAGATTGCTTCTAATCATTACAGAACATTTCAACCTCAAAATTTGATGTTTTTATATATATCAAACTTTATAAGGATTTTATGAAATAGTACATAAATAGATAATAGTTATGAACAAAACTTAAGACTCAAGTTACATAACAGTGAACTATCTAGGGTGACCAGACGTCCTAGTTTTGCGAGGACTGTCCCATTTTTTGGTAGTTTGTTCCAGCATCCCGAGGGAAGTTCTCAGGATGTACAAAACATCCCAGTTTTATGATAAAGATATCAAACTGTCAGTCACATCGAATCACAAATGTAATAGGCCTACTTGACTTGCTCATTGTTGTAACACATACTCTCCTGCCAATAAACTCTCAAAAATTCCATCTGTAATGGTGAGAAACTCAGGTCTGCACAGGTTTAGTTGGTTGTACTGTAGTAGACCTATAGCAGTTAAAAATCAAGAAATGTTACTTAAGATATTTTTAATACTGAAAATCTTCAACCTATCATGGTGTCAAAATGCCAAAAATAGTTGGTTTTTTTTCAGATAATTTGACAGTAGACTTTCCTTTTTTAAATGCAAGTGAGTTGGATAATAAAGTTGAGTGTACTATAAGAAAAGCTACGTTTTTGATAGCACACAGTGGCAGATTGAACATTACAGTTCACACTGTGAAGAAAAAGCATAAGAACCATTTTGAAACTAGGGGCAGGGGCTGTCCCAGTTTTGTGGTTTGGAAATTTGGTCACCCTAGAACCATCCCATGGTAATAAATCTTGATAACAAGGAACCCATTTTTTAGGAAATAAAAGTTTTGAGATGGCTTGACTGAGTAATCAAAAAATTTATTATAAATGTACGACATTTTGAAAAGATTTTGTCCTTCTGAGGATGACAAAATCTTGTCGAAATGTTGTACATTTATAATAAAGTTTTTGATTACTCAGTCAAGTCATTTCAAAACTTTTACATCCCATGGATATAAGTGTAACATTATAATTTGGGTGATCAACACAAACATTTGCAGAAGGTTAGTCAATTAGCCTGTAAACTGAAGTTACTGAAAGTTGTTTGTGTCAAAAACCTATAGCTTCAACAATAACAGTAATAAAAAGAGCACAAAAAAACTACATAAATTTTTAAATTTAATTTTCTACTCTTTAATAAATTGGACATTAGAAATAATTATAAAACTCAATGCCTGGTATAGTTTAATAAACTAAAACTCAGTGGAAAGTGACACCCAATCAGAGAATACTAACAACAACCATCATTGTTTTTCTTATGTATATTGATAATCCTATGCATAAAAAGCAAAACTGCCTTTAAAATTGGTTAACTAATAAAACGAGAGACATAACATAGTATTATGAAGCTGCCTAATAAAACACTAAAAAAATATTTTTTTTTTTTCCAAACCTAATACATTCTTAGTACACATCATAAAAAAATGTGAGCTACACATTTCTGAATTTCTTACAGAATATAGCACCATTTACTGGATCAATCAAAACTATCATGACCAATGGATATACATTTGTAATGACTTATAAATTAAAGAAGCTCCACTTATATATTTGCTCAATATTAATATTAATAAAATTCCTCACATTAGGATTTTTCATATTTATTAAAAGACACATTATCAAGCTGCAGTAAACGTAGCCATCTCAACTGTTTAAATATAATTTATCAAAAGCTTAAGTTTTGAAACAAAACGTCACAAGCTCAATTAGTCTGCAGTTCAGGTTTTTTTGTTTTACAACCTACTAATTATGAATGTATAAACAGTTTTACAGTAATGATGATTGATGATGATGATGATGATCATCATACCATACATTATATGGTGTTAATCAATGCTTAGAAATCTACTATCTTGCTTGCAAAATAAAATGACACTGCTATTTTATTACGAGGCAACAAACTTAGAATCAGCATATACCACCTATTTATTTTCACAAATTCATTTCATTCTTTAGTATAATAAATTTTATCATTTGATATGTGTAACATTTATTTTTCTTTGCACAATTTTCAAAATACTCATAAAACTAGTCAACAAGTTTCACACCCCACAAAAATAATGCTATAATGTCTAGTTTCTATTCAGATCAAGCCATGCTAGTTTCAATGAACTAACATAACATCTCATTTCATTTACATCACACACCTAACTTTAGAGATCAACTCAGAGGCACATGTTAGTTATATATATATATATGTTTGTTTTAATAAAGACATTTTTCTTTTTTGAAGCTGTTCACTGGAGCACTTCATGAACCGTAACCATGGTATTCGTCTGGAGATTTATTTCCATACTTTGCTTTACGAAGAGCTGCTAACCGTTCCCTTGCCTCTTCTAGCTCTCTTTCTTTTCTTAGAATTTCTTCTCTTGCAATAATTTCTTGGGCAATACCTCCAACCATTCTTTTATTAATAACAAGACTTCTTTCTTCATCATTTTCAATTGACTTTTGAGCTGCACGAACTAGGTTATCTGTAGCTCTTTTGACTGCATTTCCAGCATTCTATAAACAAATAATCACATCTTCGAACTAAGTTTACAAATTTTAAAATAATAAAATATAAATTTCCTGCCATTAATGTAATTTCATGGTTTAACAGTGATTCAAAAGAAACCAAGTTAACATTCTTCATTCAACAAATATACCTTATCTTGGGCAAAGTAAAGCTTCAAAACACCGTTAAGAATTACTTGTATAGAATTTTGTTAATTTATATAAATCTATATAAATATAGTACTGTCTGTTGATAGTAACTAAATCTATATAATGAAACCAAGTTAACATTTTTCATTCAACAAATATACCTTATCCTGGGCAAAGTAAAGCTTCACAACAAGCATTAAGAATCTCTTATATAAAGCAAAGCGTGTGTCCAGAAAAATAAACATACAGCCGTATATCTATCTTTTCATATCTGTTCCTTATACGTTTCTTGATCAATCAGCACCAAACTTGACACAGTGATACAGGATGAAATCAAGAAGGTCATGGATGGGGGGTCTGACCCCCATCTAATTTCATATTGATAGAATTCTTGAAAACAGTATGTCTTTCTTTTCAGTATTGGTACCTTTATGTATTTTTATTGCACTTTTAGTATTTACTATGTTAAGAAGATAAAACTTAAGTAGGAATTTCCTATTCCTTGTTACAAAAAAGTTTTTATTTCACCTGTCTAGTTACTTGTATACTATTTTATTAACGATTTATCTGAACATTTTTTGCCCATTTCATTAAGTAATCCCTTCAATAATATATTTCGTACATCAATTTGCTGCACAAGAAATACAAATACTAAAATGTTTTAAGAAAATGAAATAAAAATATTATTACTCGACACTGTAATTATATTATAAATTCCTCACCAAAAACAAAATATCTATCTTGGTTAATGTGCAAACAGATACTAAAGTGTAGATATAAAGGCATTTACAGGAAGAATCATACACTGGAAAAATACAACTTACCTGTAGCCGCCTCATGGAGTGCGACTCGGGGTCTGCTTTAACCTTGCAAGCAACAAGTAGCTGGGCTGTAGAGCTTGCTACCTGTTTAGCAGAAGATATCATCTTTTCTTCTGTAGCATGGCCTTGTACAAGTGCATTAGCTGCTTCCACAAGGCTGTGAGTGGTAGCAGCAACGAGACGTGCCTAGAAAAAAAGAATGGATTATTCACTTTTGTTCATTTATAAACTGGCACATTCAATATAAAATAGGCTATTATCACTATCACCCTTTATCTGCCTTACAGATGAAAACACAAGCATAGAAACCTAGGGATTCTAAACAGTTTTATAATTTTATTTACTTCTTTTAACCAGTAGTAATTAATATCGTAATAACGCGTGTTCCTAATATTTTTTTTAAAACATAAATTCATGATAATAAAATAAAGGGGAAATAATAATTTCAAACTTAAAACATAAACGGTGAAAACAAAAAAACTATTCCACAAAAATACTGGATTACTCTATTCCTATGTTCACCAACTAAAGCAAAGAAAAAAAATTGGTGTTCATCACTATCAATCTTATGATTTGTTGAAAACTACGTGCCAATGATAACTCATGATTTATCATCATTCATTTACTACTGTAAACAACAAGTCAACAATGCAGTTATCACTTTAGAACATTTATTGACTCGCTCATTTCCGGTAATTGAAAAACATTAAAAATTAACTTCTATTGTCTTAGGACAGACTTTTAGGGAACTGGCATGTAGACAGGTAAACGCACAGATACACTTACAGCGGAAACAAGTCCTTCGGACCATTGACCATCATCAGATGTATATAAAGGATGTGCTCCAATCTGTATAAGAATATACGATACTTAGATGAATGAAATAAAACGTTTAAAATAAAAACTGCTAAGACACAATCCTGATACCATTTATATAGGTAACATATTTTAAAGTATAAATAATAATATTTAACCTGAAAATAATTAGTCATTATAACAGAATATTCTTCTGCTTATTATCTCTTTGTAATTAAAAAAATAAAAATATCCAATACAACTGTAGATCCACACATAACAAGCCTTACTACACACAACATGTTCTCTGAATCTTACAAAACAGAAACACAAAAGTTTCTAGAATGACATACACATTAATAATTATTTTATAATTATTTTACGTCATTTCCAACTTAGAATATTTAGCTTTTTCAAGGAAATATTGGTGTACCGTTCCAGCATCAAGCAACTCCTTCTGAGCTGCACATGCAGCTTTCACAAGGGCAGACGTAGCTGCTGTAATGGACTTAGCTGCTTCCAAAATCATTTCATCAAAGTTCATTTCTTCATTAGCTTCCTGAAAACAATAACAGTATTTTCTTATAAGTATAAAAATAATACTAATAGTTTTATATTTCTATGAATGAACAATGGTCACTTTTTTTTCCCATAGGTCATATCTTTTTAGAACCACAGCAACAAATTGCAAAAACCCATCACTCTATACACTAGATCGATCAATGGTTTATTTTCAACCATAAGATACAGTCAAAAATAAAATTCCATGTGGCTTAGCCAATTGAGAAAACTTTAAAATATACAACTTGGTCCCTCAAATTTTGAAAATGGTCATAAATTGCCAACTGTAACATTTGTCTATTAATCTGCCAATTGAGAAGACTTTAAAATATACAACTTGGTCCCTCAAATTTTGAAAATGGTCATAAATTGCCAACTGTAACATTTGTCTATTAATCTCCAGAACAACAAAGACTCAGCAAACAACAGACTTTAATGCATTATTTAAAGTTTTTATTTCACAGTTATAACTGTCTGGATCAGATTAATTTAAACAGAATCCTATCAAATAAATGATACAGTTGAAAGTTAAATGTGATGGAACACATGTGATGTTTATTTGCACCTGTTCATTAGAAAAACACCTGAATACTACTCTTCAATATGTTTCATGCAGAAAAAGTTCACTCACTAAACAAGTAAATGATGCTGAATGTTTCCAGACTTTAACTATGCATCTTAAAACAGTTAATCTAATAAATTTATTCTTACAGAGATAACAGACTTCATTAGTTGATATTTTCCTTCTCTATAAGTATATGTCTGATTCCTGGTTGACACAAATGCAACAACCAAGAATATCAAACATATCTTACAGCCAAGGGTTTTTCCATTTCATGTTCTCTGAAGTGCTCAACATCATGATTCAGGTTCACCTGGATTTGGAGTGAAACTTTTTGATTAAAATCAATTTCCTAACAAACAAACTTCATTTCCATTTCCTTATCTATATGGTTCAAAAGATAAAAATATAGAAACATCAACTGCTACGCTATTTTACAGATATAAAAAGCCACTACACCTTGACACTACGTTTTCTTGGTTTCAAATGAGCAAGTTTTTTAGCTGCAGCATCAATTGACGAAGCTGCCCCAAGTAATTCAGTTTCAGCTATCACTGTTGGGTCATCTGGATCAATCCAGTCGCTACCTGAAAGTTTAAAGAAATATTTATGATCAATTATTTGAAAAGAATTATCTTCATTATAAAACTACGTTTATGAAAGCTTTTGATATTAAATTAAAGATGACCACAATTAATTATTTGCAACAACTAAAGCAACCCATTTCCTTTAACAGCTTTAAAATCATGTGATTTATTACAGAATGTACAACACAGTGAACATGAATGAGGGAATTATAAGTTATGATTTATGACAATTCATTGTAGTATCACAAAACTTGCAACAAACTAAAACTACAAGACAAAACTTAGATTAATCAGGTCTTAAAATTAAATGTTCTGATTTACAGCTAAGGCCAAAGTTTGGCATCACTCTAGCATTTTAGGAATGAGACATAATTAAAAAAAAAAATTATATGAACATAATATAGATTTTTTTTATTTAACATCATTTAATTAAAGAAACTACCAAATGGTATCATAAAAGTATACCAGAAGCAATAGATATTTGCTGTGCATTTCGTGGTTTTTCAAGACTTTTTAATCTTTTCAAGCATGGATCTAATAAGGTATTGAAGGGTCGAGTTATCTTCTAGATTCCTCCATGCAGCCTTTAAATATAACAGTATTCAACAGGCTTCATTTAACTACATGATTGTTTGTTTGTTTGTTTTGAATTTCGCGCAAAGCTACATAAGGGCTATCTGCACTAGCAGTCCCTAATTTAGCAGTGTAAGACTAGAGGGAAGGCAGCTAGTCATCACCACCCACCGCAAACTCTTGGACTACTCTTTTACCAACGAATAGTGGGATTGACCATCACATTATAACACCCCCATGGCTGAAAGGGCGAGCATGTTTGGTGTGACGGGGATTCGAACCCGCGACCCTCAGATTGCGAGTCGAGCACCCCAGCCACCTGGCCATGCCGGGCAACTACATGAATTAAAACTAGATAATTCTAAGGTGATTCAAAAGTAAATCTGCCAAATTCACTGAGATTTACAGTATCAACAAAAACCTAAATTAAGAAACCTTAGCTGACTACTAGAGAATGTTTCATTTTGCGATGCTATAAAAAGATTGGAGTACACTGAGAGTTTTAATATTTCAAATCTTAGGTAAAAAAGAAAATCACAAAGAAGTCATTTGTAAAAACATTTTTTTAAAGCAATATGAACATTTAAATGTAGTTTATAGGAAAGAAATAACAATAATGTTTGGTTTAAACACTAATTCTACTTGATGGCAGTCTTTACTCATTCATTCAATACTGTTAGTAATAAAAAAAAACATTTTGGAAGGCAATTGTGATACACCTATTATGAATAATATATTGAAAAATGATTAAAATAGTGATCCTGGTTAAAAAAAAATCAATAGGTTGCTATAATAAAATAAAGTCATCTAACTGAAGTTATTAGAGAATTTGAATTTATAATGTAAAACTCAGTCAATAACATAAATCACACACACACACACACACATATATATATATATTTAAAGTATTGTAACAATGTTCCTAATACATATATAAACATCAAGCACTAACCTTTCAGGGTTTCAGCAGAATTTACAATCTCAGAAACAGACTGGGCAATTGTTCTTGACATGCTGATTAGTTGCTGTTTCCCTTCATTGCTAGGTCTCTGAATTACCTAATATATCAAATTTATACAAATTTTTCTTCATTTGAAAGTAACAATTTGTGCATAACTCAAGAGCTAAAAACAAAAAATTTCATGCATAACAAGTTCTAACACCTGTAATAACACGTGCATTATGAAATTCATAAAGTTTATAACATCAGTTTTTATTAAGAAATACTGCTCCTGGGACACCATTTCTAATATCTGCTTGTTTAGATATTTGTAACAATTATAAACTGCTTTACATTATCAAACATGAAGTAGTTGTTCTGATTAACCCTTTCGAGACGGGTCATGGGTTTAAAGGCCGTGTCATCTCATTTGTTGACTCCCATTTAAATTTTATTGAACTACTATTTCATGAATTCATGTCAATAAGTTTGGTATCAAACTGTGGATTATAATTCAAATTTTAGTTCTGTACATTACTCAATTTCTTAATTTAAAAGTAAATATTAAAAAACACAAATAAACATTGATTTTTGTATGTCACATGGTATGTTGAATGCAGCACTGGTTCAAATTAGATGTTTGTGAAATTAAAATACTAAGTCTATAGTTTGTACAAATTAGAAACTCAAATTACTGATATTGAAAAGTTAGAATATAAAATAAGAAGGTCATATCTTTTCTATTTGCTAAGATATTGCTTATCTAATAAATCAAACACAGTGGTACCCCACCCACCTCTTTCCATTTTTGGAAATGCACCCTTATATACACTTACTTCTATACATGACATGATTAACCAATCGGAAGCTCAGAATGCTTTCTAGTAGTTTTCTCTGCCATTTTAAACTCTTAGGACCCAATTCCTTTCTTTTGAACTAAGATTTAAAGGAGGTGTCTTTAGCCTGCTCGAAATTTCATATTTTTTTAGACTAAAATACATCTTAGTTACT